GTTTTGGATCAAATTTTGGATAGCAGTTTGTTTCTCCAGATCATGTGCATTCCATGTTGGATGTGTGCGATGCCAGTTAGACCTTGAGGCTTGAGTTCAGGCACCCATGCTATGCGAATCTATGTCGCCTACCGAAGCGATATCAAGGAGGGGATGCCACAACGGCTCATCAGATGGGTCGCTCACCTTGCTCATCCCAGAGGAGCGGCTTCTGTCCACTATGATGCGGCGAAACATGGAAACAGGGCTCATTCCTACAGCGATCTGAGTCCTGATGGTGCTGACCTTCAAACTTCAAAGACATATGCGTGCAACGAAAGCATTTGCTGCACGGAATGGCCTTTCATCATTTTCATCTACGTACTGGAGCAAGGGAGAAAGTGGAGATCCTCGTCGGGATATCTCAGAACAGAATTTATCTGACAATATATTATATGAGATATGATATGACTGATGACGTTGATGTTGACTGTGTTGACTCCAGAGCTTGAGCAGTTTGGGACACAAGCCTCAAGCCTCGAAGCCTTCTCAGTGTAAGTCTCAGGATGTGAGCCCCAAGCTTCAGCCACAAACTCCAACCATTAAACTCAACATCTGTGGTCTTGGACTCCTATTCATAGACCCAATCCGCCTCGAGCCTGAAACCCTACAGCCGAAGCCCTTTTCGATTGGGCCGATAGATGGGATATCACAGCAGCCTTCGCCCGAATGTAGAGCCGAGAATTCGGCAAGCGTGTTGTGTTCTGGGTGTTTGCAGCTGATGGTCTGTAGTCTGTAGTATGTATTATGTCGTTTTGTATGTAGCCGGGATTAGGTGGGCCATACCCATCCGAATTCTACGTTGCGTGTTGTGTTGTGGTTATTTGCAACGTTGCAAGCAATAGCTGGTTGTTTGTAGCGGTCAATAGCCATCTGATTTCTATGTTGCGGTCGGACATACGGGAGATTTATTAAGTTTCTGTCACAGGGCCTGTGCTTTTTTGCAAGACGAGTACCAAGGATAGCGGCAGGGACTATGCTTATGCTTTCAGTGAGAACAGCGACGGCTACCGTGTGAATGTGAATGCTCATCGGAGTGGTGCCCAAACCCAGGGCATTCAGAGTCCCAGTGAACCAATGTGGGCTAGACTAGTTGATTGTTACAACCGGCGCACCCGAAATTTGCGCTGTAGGACGCATCACCGCCATTCGTCTGACCGCAACCGAGATCGCTGAGCGGTTCTTGACTGGACATGACCACAGAACTCATCAGTCCTGTGTTGTCCATGGTTGTGGGTTTTGGATCTGACTTTGGGGCCACAGGGCATGCCACGCAAAAAGGGCAACGCGCATGCCGTCAAAGTTCGTTATGGACTTTGGCTTTCAGGATTCGAGTTCAGAGTTGAGACAGGTCAGCGCCAAGTAAAGTCATAAAGACATAATTGAATAGCTACAGACTCACTATAGTTGGGAGGGAGTATGTCATCATCCTGCAACTGTGTGTCTCGAATGATCGGTGGGCAGCTTGGAAAGCACTTATCACGGAAATCAACCCTAGCAAGGTAGCCTCATGACACGGGGTCAACCCGAGCACGTCGGAACCCCCTGTGCCGGAGCTGGCCGCGGCAATTGCGGTTTTACTAATCTAAACCCATAAATATGGGTAGCTTTTTGATTTATGATAGGATGGAAAAGCTTGCTTAAGGCATTGTGGCAGGAATATGATGATTAGCATAAGGGTATGGCGGTAGTAGTATAACAGGATAAAGGTACAGTGTAATCGTGTTTAATACTATGGATTGACTAGTAGTGGTAGTAGTCGTAGTAGTAGTAGCAGTTGTAGTAGTAGTGATAGTAGTGATAGTAGTAGTAGTAGTAGTAGTAGGAGTAGCAGTAGTAGTAGTAATTAGTAGCAGCAGTAGTAGTAGTAGTAGTAGTATCAGTAGTAGATTGTAGTCGTAGCACGGTTCTTGTGATGGTTTGTTATGACCATCTTGATAATAGTTGGATATGTGACAGGATTTAACTTAATATCATGATACGAAATTTAGGAGCAATATGGTGAGAAGACAAGGTCTAGGAAAAGGTCGCCTGGATACATTTGGGGCAAGATGTGGAATGACGCTGAAACACATAGACCTAACTAAACATGTAGTAATGTGGTAGTAGCAGTAATAGCAGCAGCAGCACCAGGAGGAGTGGTAGTGGTAGTTGTTGGTGTTAGGGTTGTACTATTATTAGCGTGTGATAAGGAAGGATGGGTGATAGATTAGAGGCACGTCTAAGTAATACAGAGGGTGCCATTAAACCGTTACTACCTATCATGTGCTGAAGCATCCTGTATGTGTATGGCATCAATGTAGTCAGGCTTGCCTGGCCCTGTATTAAGCGCCTCCTGGATGCATGCGTCTTGAATTGCGGGATCTAGGGGATGAACAAAATCACCTTCTGGTCGTGCACTAGAAGTATCTGAGACCTTCGAGTGTCTTGGTGTCATGAATTGCAGGGTTTAGAGCACAAAACACACAATTCTATTGGTATCTGGGGGGGGGGTGGCAAGCATATATATATATATATATATTATATTATATTATATTATATTATATTATATTATATTATATTATGTTATGTTATGTTATGTTATATTTCTGTATTATGTTAAGTTATGTTATATTATATTATAATATATTATAATATATTATATTATATTATATTATATTATAATATAATATATATTATATATTATATTATATTCGCGAAGCTTTTGATTTTCCAGCATGTGGTGAGTTGTTGGGGTATAGCGAAGTTTTGTTTTCCGAGACGACCGACCCGGTTTTTGGGTACCGAGATGCCTTTGCTATACATGGTGGCTCTATATTTGGCACACACCAGCATATACCTTGAGAGTTGGGTGTGAACGAAACCAACAATTGACCCCGTGTGTATGTGTGTGTGTGTGGGTCTATGATGCGGGACAAAAGCATGTGGTATGGAACCAGGTGTGGTCGCATGCAGAATATCTAAGTCTATGAGTGAGATTTTCGGGTAGGCATATCTTTGCGACAAAGCGGGTTGCACAACAACATATTCATCGAGCGCTGCGCAAGCGGCGATGCACCGGCAAGGGTTCTAACACTGTTTTTGCAGTGGTGCCTGAGAGTTTATGCTGTCCTTTTTGCCAACATGAGCATGACAGTATGGATGAGTTGCTCACATGCATTACCGCACATGTTGTCGGACCAAACTCGTAGGGGGTCTGGTTTCGTTGTGGGTGCGGCCTTAGTTCCGTCCAAGTGCCCCGTCAACATGAATCAGTGGCTCGCATCTGGTGACGCTCGACCTGCCAAGCATCCACGCAGCGAAGCAGCAACACCGCAGGAGCTCGACATGCACCTAGTGGGGAAACTCTTGTTACTGTTGTCCAAGTTGTCGCTACGACACAGCCTCGAGATCAACGAGCTCCAGTCGGCCACATTCAAGACCATCGTGATGGGCAGGGAGTCCTCGTTCATCAGTGAGGCACAGGAAGCAACACGCTCGTTTGCTGAGAAGGCCAAGAACGCCAGAGAGACACGCAATAACAAAGCGATCGACGAACTGGGCGAGCCGCAGTACCACAGCTGGGCAGCTCTGATCAAGGTGGCAGTGGAGGACACGGCCCTGTCGCAGCAAGATCGAGACGTTCTGACTGCACATTTCAATGGAGTGAGGTCTGTAGCCGATCTTACGGACAAGGTGTTCATCGCCAAGGTCAAGCGGTGCTATGACAAACGCGTGAACAAAGTCCACCTGGCAGTATGTGCTGAGCTGAGCCCCGTACTTGATGCCTTGCTACGTGCCATGAGTCGCGCCGGAGGGAAGATCAAACGCGGCCAGCCACCACGCAGCGGGAATGACAGAGAGCTGCAGGATCTTGTGGACAAGCTTGCTAGGATCGTCCAAGACGATTAACGAGTGCGAGCACTGAGCGGGTGCACGGAGCATGCGTAAGCCATGCTTTCCGGGGGTGGGGTGCAAGACTCTCGTGCCGTAGACTCTAGTCGGGCCCTGAGTTCTTTCTGTCTCCAGTGGCGGCGTCACAGCTTGTGCTGTGCTGTCGTGCGCTGTAGGAGGTTTGTGTTTCAAATGCTGTGGCGGTCATTTCTGTGATATGCCACCTGCTCAGCCATGACAGTTGGACGTCAGAGAGCTGTGGAAGAAGATTTTCGGCACTAGGAAGATATGTAATTAGGTTTTAAAAAGTATATGCAGCTTGAACACTTTTTAGAAAGTATAGAGCAGGTTGAGAACATATGTAAACAGCTTCAGCAAACACAACAGGCCCCGACAGTTATATATATTTCATAGAGTAGAGAGAAACCTTATAGAAGAGAGCCATATGCAATATACAGACCATGAGGGTGTTTAGTGTTGAACAGAGGGTATTTACCCTCGAGCATTGCATGTTTAGGAGCAGTTGGAGGGAATATGTAGATGACCTTGAGAGGTGTGTTATAATTTTGAGAGTATACCCCACCTTGAGAGTTTAGTGTTGTACAACAAGGGTATGTGAGACTTTTGCATGTTTAGGAGCAGTTGTGGAGGGAATATATGTAGATGTGACCTTGAGAGAGGTGTGTCAGACATTGAGAGGATATATTACACCTTGAGAGTTTGCTGTTGACAAAGGGTATTTACCTTGAGAGATTGAATTTGCACGTGTCTGAGCAGTTGGAGGGAATATGTAGATGACCTTGAGAGAGGTGTGAGACTTTGACAGCACATATCTTACACCTTGAGAGTTTAGGGTGTTGCGCAGAGAGTATTTACTTTGAAAGTTCAGTGTTGCACAGAGAGTGTTTACCTCGAGGGCTAGGAGCAGTTGTGTCTGCGGGGACACAATCCGTAAGCGACCTTGAGAGGTCTGAATCCTGTGTTTCACATGTTGCCGGCAGGACTCGGGCTTTCTGTGCTCGGTAGTAAGTATAGCGGCCCTGCTTTCGGTTTCACAAGCTTTTGTACAGCTGCCCTGCTGCCGCAGCATGGCTCTCACCGGACAGACGGGACGGTTGGTCGCCGATCCCACGATCGGTGTGGAAGATATCACAGGTGTGTTCGAGAAGTGGCTGAAATCCCGAAAGACAAGGAATTTCTTCAAGGCCTTGAACTTGCCTCGCGGGCTCACCTTCAAAAAGTCCCCGATAGGCTCCTGGATGGCGGGTGTATCCGACCTTCCTCGCTCCGAACGGTATGCTCAGGCCGAAGAAGATCAGAACAGCCTTGGCCAAAATGAACGAGCAGGATGAGAAAATTAATCACACTCGGAAATCGGACAACGACTTCGTCGATTTGACTGATGAAGGCATCAGGATCGGGTGTGCCATGTTCAGGTGCCTGAAGGTGGAAGCCAAGACCAAACAGCGGTGCTTTGCTATGATGACAGCGGCTGAGCAAGCGGCTGTGCAGGATGTCATCGACATCATGAATTGTGGTCCCGTCCTAGAGGACGGATCTCAGGAGTCTGTCAGCGAGCCTCCTCCGGGAATGCTTGCTTTGGCAGATGGTGCCGCTGATGCAAGGCCTGCAGATGCAAGTCCTGCAGATGCAAGGCCTGCAGATGCAAGGCCTGAAGATGCAAGGCCTGCGGTTGCAAGGCCCCTGGTCTTGGAAGACGACCCTAGGCCCTAGACCAAAGCCCAGCCTCCATCGGCTCGACCCCATGGCAGTCTTTGACAGAGTTCGGAGCAGAGTAAGTTCAGAAGAGGCAGAGAGCGAAGATCTTCCTGGACCTAGTAGCAGCAGTCGGGCCCCACCTGATGCTACAACAAGCACAAGCAGCCCCATGGACGTGCACTTCAGCTTTTTGTTGAGCCAAGCCGAATCTGTGGAGCTCTTGGACAACAAAGCCCAGTTGATCATATTCCGCAAAAACTGCCCTGAGAAGAAGGGGAAAGGGAAAGGCAAGCAGAACGGAGAGGCGAACAAGAAGAGCGAGGCGAATCAGAAGACTGAGAATGCCATCCCTAATAAGTCCAGGTCTTCAGCGCCAAGCAAGGTCAAGAAGGCCATCGAGTCCCCGGACGGCGAAGCCCCCGAGATCTCCGAAGAGAAGGATACGATTCCCGCAATCAGGCACTCCAAGAAGAGCCCAGACATCCCTAAGAGCAAGGAGAGCCCAAAGTCTAAGCAGTCGGACCCGAAAGCCAAGGCTACCCCGAAGTCGACCCCGAAATCGAAGGCGAGCCCAAGGTCGACACCGAAATCCAAGGCGACCGCGAAGGCCAAAGGTGAGAAGGAGACTAAGAAGGAGAAGCCCGAGTCGCACAACACTAAGGTGAAGCCTGAGTCTGCGGTGAAGGCCGAGGAGAAGCCTGAGTCTGCGGTGAAGGCCGAGGAGTTCCCCGAGGATGAGCATGATGGTGTAGAGAAGAAGAAGATGAAGATGGACAGAACAGCCATCCGGAAACGAGTGGTCTCCAAAGCCTACCACAACGAGAGAGATCGGCAAATGAAGGAGGGTGTTGAGAAGGAGGCGGCCTCCGAACTTCCAAACGTGCAGGTGATCAGTTTGACTCGGAGAATCCCAAGGAGAAGAAGGCCAAATTGAAGCTCAAGGACATGAAGGGAGAGGATGACTCTGAGTGTGTTGCTGATGCTGCTAACCCCGAGGGTGCTGACAAGGAGCCTGAAGATTAGATTCCGCTGTGTGTGTGCACACAATCAGACATGTTGGTTGATAGGTGTTAGTACAGTGACCATAGTATGTTCGTGCTGATTGCTTTGATAGGAATTGTTGCCTGTATGCCCGTGTGCGGTTGTGCACAAAGCCCGTGGAGCCTGCTGCTGCGTAGTTCTGTATGGGTTTTTGAACTTGAAAACACAATAGTTACAAGTAAAAGCATAAGAAGAAGTCGTGTGTCGCTTTATTTCCTGAGCAGACTGTGTAGCTTGCACAGTCAGATTTTGAGCCCATGGAATGGTCACTTGTGTGGTTTATAGAAGCAAGAGTGCTTGTCTCTGCACGGAATCAGATGGGAGATGTGTGTGAGGCCTGTTTGCTATAGAAGCGAGGGCTTTCGTCCCTCCACGGAATCAGATGTGACATGCAGGATTGGCGCTTTTTGCCATACATCTGCGAAGGATCAACGTGGACAGATTCGTGGAAGCTGTGTGTGCTGCTTGGGTGGCGACCCCAAAATCAGAGTGCAGCTTTGTGATCACTGGCTGTTGCGAGCTGTGTGATGCTGTGTGCTTTGCTGTCATGCATGTTGTGTGAACCTTGAGTGGACCATGAGAGCATTGTGTCGAGCGGCGGTAGGTTGAGTGGACCATGAAAGCATTGTGTGTATCGAGTCGCAAAACATCGGTAGGTTGAGAGATTCAGACTTCGAGGAATGCGAAATTCAAAGCAACACCACACAAGCATCACACACACACACACATCCTGCTCTAGAAAGGTGTGACTGTGCAACTTCGGCATCTTCGGCTGTGGTGGGCCACTCGAGGCCGGATTAAATCAGGGTCTTGGGTTTTGGGCCGGCTTGGGATTCCAGGATTTCGGGTTAAGCATGGGTGGCGATGATGATAGTGAGATGTCTAGAATCTAGAAGCATATGGTGGTGTTGGGGTTGATGCTTGATGCTAGACTAACAAATCTCATATACAAGCCCTTATATACTTATGTGTATGTATATATATATATATATATATATATATATGAATGTATCTATACATAGTATGTCCTATTTAAATATTATATATATATATATATATATATTCTTTATCTATATGCATTTGCACTTCTCTTTCCTATATAAGCTATATACTTGTATCAGTTTCAATCCGTTCTGTGCAGTTTAAAACCCCAAAACCCTAGACCCCCTAACCCTAAACCCTATGAGCGCCTAGACCTTAAACCCCAAGTGCCAAGCCCCAAATCTCAATTTCCAGGATGTTCTGGAGCCTTTTATTACACGGTTCAGGGTTTGGGTTTGGACTTTGAGAGAGAGGGGGTTGTGGGTTTCTGTATATATATATATATATAGAAACGGTTTAGGGCTTAAGGGTTCGGGGTTGGGGTTTATACCAATCACAACAAACCCCCGACTCAGCTTTAAAACCCAAAGTGGCACCACAACAGTCGAAGTCACGATTATACCACCCCATGATGAACATCGTCATGTTACCCCTATTTCATACCGAAGGCCTTCAGGAAATAACAACCCCCGAAACATGCACCGAATGCAACCCCCTAATAAACCAATGTCCCCGATAGTCTCTTTTGGTGGGTATGTCGGGCTTTCACGGTTCATGTTTGCAGTTTCGCAGCAGGAGGCCCAGAAGTGCTGAGAGAGTGTGTTTTCATGTCAAGCTATACACATGGACACAGCTATATATTGAATCTAGATCGGACAGGATACACATACAACACAGGAGGAATACCCACCCTGCATATAGTATACCATATAATGATTATATTAGACCTCACATATACTCCGATTATATACCATAATAGTGACATACTGTGAACATATACAACAAGAGCTTTATAGAGACTCTCATAGACACTCTCTGGGCATAGACCTGCAAGCCTGGACACTTTAGGACGGGTCCTTTTTCGGCCTAGGCATCTCTAATCTAACCCACACACTATACCCCACACAACCTAAACCTAAACCCTTTAACCCTAAACTTTGCTATAGGCCGACGGTGTGCACGATAATTCAATCATGTCGCGGGTTTTTTTGAAGTATGTGGACAACACTTGCACGACCAATATTCTTGGGCATCAGCTGCGAAGTCGAGGCTGGGTCTTTGAGAACATACAGCTGGTGAGAAGCGGTCGTTTGCAAGATGCAAGGTTTTGCAATGCTTATGTGGGTGTCTGGGACGACGATTATGCTGCATATATGGCATCGGAGCTGAACAATGCTTTTATTCCTGGTGTTGGCACGGTGCAGGCTGAGATAGCCAGGCCAAGGAATAATGCAACGGCTGGTACATCGAGCAAGGCTTCGCCTGCTGCAGTACCATCGGTCAAGGCTTCGCCTGCTGCAGTACCATTGGTTCCGAGACCTCCGAAGTGTCCTCCACCTGCTCATTTGCTTCCGGCTGCGAAGATACAAGCTGCTCCATTGCCAATGGGAACCCCTCCGATGGTGGAGGTGACAGCACCTGGTACAATGGAAAATCCTCCGACGGTCCAACAGCTGCAGCTGCTTCAATGGAAGCCCCTCCGATGGTGGAGGGTGATGGCTCTGATGAGGAGGAGATTGGAGATGAGGAGCTGCAGAGGTTTTTTGCTGAGCATGCAGTGACCATTCCTGCTGTGAGCGATGATGGTGTTACAGGTTCAAGCAGCTATTCCTCCACGAGCTCATCCCGATCGCGGACACGGCGGCGGAGATCGAAATCACGGCGGAGGAGGAGTAGAGGGATGATGAGGAGGAGGAGGAGGAGGAGGAGGGAGGAGGAGGGAGGAGGAGGAGGAGGAGGAGGGAGGGAGGAGGGAGGGAGGAGGAGGGAGGAGGAGGGAGGAGGAGGGAGGAGGAGGGCATATATATATATATATATATATATATATGTGCATCTACATACACAAATAATTTTCACCTAGACATAGATTGCACATGCACACAAGAATGAAACCTTAATGGGCTGAAGCTCAACACATCCAAAAGCGCCCAAACCCCAAAGCCTCAGGATGTGGAGTCGCAGTCCGGATTTCAGAGTCTTTTACAACGATAGAGTTAGAAAGGTGTTGCAGGGTTTAAGGTGTGGAGTGTTGTCGGGTTCACGGGCTTCTGTTTGTTACCAGGGTCGAGGTGTGCTTGAGTTCATCTATTTACAGGGTTGGTCGGCTGATATAGACGGTTTTACGGTTTAGGGATTAAGGGTTTAAGGTTTTAGGGTTTCAGGGTTTAGGGTTTCAAAATTTGGGTTCAGGGCTTGATACCGACGGTTTTAGGGTTTAGGGATTATTGGGTTTAAGGTGTTAGTGTTTAAGGGTTTAGGGTTTTAGGGTTTAGGGCTTGATATAGACGGTTTGAGGGTTTAGGGGTTATGTGGCATAGACCTTTAGGGTCTATGTGAGTATACGCTCGGGGTAGTACTAGCATCGGTATTAGCAGTGTTAGTACCAGAAGGTTAGTACCAGAAGGGAATAGTAAGACTTGTATAGTTATCAGTAGTAACTAAAACTAGTAGTGCTAGTATTTGCCTTAAAAAGTTTATCCATTTCATCCATTTCAACCATTTCGAAATGGTTGAAATGGTTGAAATGGTTAAAATCCTGGCCCTCGGACAAAGGCAAAAGGATTTGAAATGGTTGAAATGGTTGAAACGGTTGAAATAGATGAAATGGTTAAAAAGTTCATCCATTTCATCCATTTCAACCATTTCGAAATGGTTGAAATGGTTGAAATGGTTAAAAAATCCTGGCCCTCGGACAAAGGCAAAAGGATTTGAAATGGTTGAAACGGTTGAAATAGATGAAATGGTTAAAAAGTTCATCCATTTCCTCCATTTCAACCATTTCAAAACGGTTGAAATGGTTGAAATGGATAAAAACTTTAACCATTTCAACCGTTTCAACCATTTGAACCATTTTTAATGTTTTGGGCTTCTGCGGGAGTTCAGGGCCAAGAACTTCACTAATTTCATCCATTTCAACCATTTCGAAATGGTTGAAATGGTTGAAATGGTTAAAAAATCCTGGCCCTCGGACAAAGGCAAAAGGATTTGAAATGGTTGAAATGGTTGAAACGGTTGAAATAGATGAAATGGTTAAAAAGTTCATCCATTTCATCCATTTCAACCATTTCAAAACGGTTGAAATGGTTGAAATGGATAAAAACTTTAACCATTTCAACCGTTTCAACCATTTCAACCATTTCAACCATTTTTAATGTTTTGGGCTTCTGCGGGAGTTCAGGGCCAAGAATTTCATCCATTTCATCCATTTCAACCATTTCGAAATGGTTGAAATGGTTAAAAAATCCTGGCCCTCGGACAAAGGCAAAAGGATTTGAAATGGTTGAAATGGTTGAAACGGTTGAAATAGATGAAATGGTTAAAAAGTTCATCCATTTCAACCATTTCAAAACGGTTGAAATGGTTGAAATGGATAAAAACTTTAACCATTTCAACCGTTTCAACCATTTCAACCATTTCAACCATTTTTAATGTTTTGGGCTTCTGCGGGAGTTCAGGGCCAAGAATTTCAATTTCATCCATTTCAACCATTTCGAAATGGTTGAAATGGTTGAAATGGTTAAAAAATCCTGGCCCTCGGACAAAGGCAAAAGGATTTGAAATGGTTGAAATGGTTGAAACGGTTGAAATAGATGAAATGGTTAAAAAGTTCATCCATTTCATCCATTTCAACCATTTCGAAATGGTTGAAATGGTTGAAATGGATAAAAACTTTAACCATTTCAACCATTTCAACCATTTCAACCATTTTTAATGTTTTGGGCTTCTGCGGGAGTTCAGGGCCAAGAATTTCATCCATTTCATCCATTTCAACCATTTCGAAATGGTTGAAATGGTTGAAATGGTTAAAAAATCCTGGCCCTCGGACAAAGGCAAAAGGATTTGAAATGGTTGAAATGGTTGAAACGGTTGAAATAGATGAAATGGTTAAAAAGTTCATCCATTTCAACCATTTCAAAACGGTTGAAATGGTTGAAATGGATAAAAACTTTAACCATTTCAACCGTTTCAACCATTTCAACCATTTTTAATGTTTTGGGCTTCTGCTGGAGTTCAGGGCCAAGAATTTCATCCATTTCATCCATTTCAACCATTTCGAAATGGTTGAAATGGTTGAAATGGTTAAAAAAATCCTGGCCCTCGGACAAAGGCAAAAGGATTTGAAATGGTTGAAATGGTTGAAACGGTTGAAATAGATGAAATGGTTAAAAAGTTCATCCATTTCATCCATTTCAACCATTTCGAAATGGTTGAAATAAAAAAAAACTTTAACCATTTCAACCGTTTCAACCATTTCAACCATTTCAACCATTTTTAATGTTTTGGGCTTCTGCGGGAGTTCAGGGCCAAGAATTTCATCCATTTCATCCATTTCAACCATTTTGAAATGGTTGAAATGGTTAAAAAATCCTGGCCCTCGGACAATGGCAAAAGGATTTGAAATGGTTGAAATGTTAGGGCTTGGGGGTTCAGGGATTAGGGTTTGAAAGTTCTAAGAACTCTGGCCCTTCTGATGCTGCAGGATCATCGCGCCTCTGCCGAAGCTGATTGTGTGGATCAAAAGAAGGCGTCCGAGGCCGCAAGCAGTCTGTAGCTCCGTAGCACACCGAGCCATTTGTCTGCCTCCTGCGACCTCTACTTTCTCAGTCACATCGGCTAGACCTCAGTGCGCTACCAGCTACCACCACTTCCATGGTAGCGGAGCCTTCGACAGAAGGTTCAAGGCCTGCCCGGAGCAGGCGTGGTGATCGATCCAGGGACGGCTTCTACTGGGGAAGAGTAGAAGATCAACAATGAGTGGGATAGCAGAAGGGAGCGCGACTACGACCTCGACGAGAACCAAGGACGGAATCCCCACGTGGAGTGGGGAAGCCTCCAGCTTCACGGCCTACGAAGAGGCCGCCTTGCTGTGGGAGCAGTCGCTCACGTATGACAAGCGGTACACGGCGGGGCCAAAGCTGGTTCAAGAACTGAGCGGCGCCGCACGGCGCTATGTGACAGGGCAACCAGCGGGCTGGGTGGCATTCCGAGGTGGAGTGGTCATCCTCATGGACCACTTGAGGAAGGCGCTGGGGAAACCCCGCGTGAACGAGGTGACGGATCTCTTGACTACGTACTTCAAAGGGTCCAAGCGGAGAAGTGGCGAAAGCATGAACGAGTACATCACCAAGAAGACCGAGGCCTATATGAGGGCGAGCCAAGCTTTACGCCGAGTACAACCGCACTACGAGAAGGACCAACCGGGCACTACCTCCTCAGCTACGACTCCGACCGCGTGGCAGTGGCATGGCCATGACTACGGGACCAGCAACTGGGGCCGCCAGTGGACACCAGCCTCTGAGGGTGATGGCACAGCCAGTGCTGAGGAGACTGCCAGTTCCACTCGCCCTTCCGAGGCAGCCGGCAGCCAGGATGACCCCTGGCAGGGAGCGAATGCCTGGAACACCGGGCAGGGATGGAACTGGTACTATGGATGGCAAGGCTGGAATCCCGGGGGCCGGGACTGGCGAGCTACGAGCTGGAGTTCTACATCCCAGACTTCGGAAGGGAGTGCCAAGGAAGTGAATTGCTACCATCCTTCATCCAAGGGTGGTACCTCCTGATGGACGCGGGCCTGGACCATGGAGAGAGGAATCTCGTGATGACGGCCCTGGGTGGAGACTTCCAGCCCCAGCGGGTTGGACAGGAACTCCGGAACCAGTTCCCAGAAGGAGAAGTACGGCGGCGAGACCAAAACCGCCGACACCAGAGCTACATCGGGGAGCTCGCCGATGAGATGGACGAGGACTTTGAGGACCTCGGGGTGTCGCCGGAGGACTTGGAGGCCGAGGGCATGAATGAGGAGGGCGTCGCTTTGGTGGTGGACGCCGAAGCGGCCGCTCAGAGCGCCCTCGCGGCTTTGCATGAGGCCAAAAGAACCCTCAAGGACGCCAGGTTTCGCCAGAAGATGGTCAAGCAGAACAGGAAGTACTACCAGAGCAGCGGACGTGGCAGCTGGGGTCACAAACCCCGGGATGATAGCAACATGGAGTGTTTGGCTTGCGGCAAGAAGGGACACCGGGCAGCCAACTGCCCCAATCAGAAGACAGCCGCAATCGCAACTGCCACCGAGGCCACAGAGCACGCACCCTTTGTGTGCTACTCAGGCGCCGTGGAGACCGAGACTGTGATCAACGAGGACGAAGAGGGCTTCGCTGGATACGCGGACCATGGAGGAGATGGCCCGCTGAACGAGGCCTTGAGTGCAGAGGGCAACTCCGAAGGAATCACTACGGCGGAAGCGGTGACACGAGGCTACTGCGTGGTGGATGGAGGCGCAACGCAGACGATTGGGTCAGTGGTGGCCGTGGAATCAGTGCTGCGCCAAAATCGTCTCAAGTATGGGGACTCGCGGCTGAAGGGCGTTAACACCGAGAATCCCCCGAGCTTCGCCTTCGGGAACTCTTCGACCAACCGTTGTCTCAGCACAGCAAAGCTGATGGTTTCTGCCAACGGCTCTCCAGGAGAGCTGAGAGTCCACACTCTCAATCATGGGCAAAGCCCAATCCTTTTGAGCGTGGAAACGCTCAGGAAGGTAGGAGCTGTTATAGATTTTTCTGCGGATTTAGCTGTCTTTAGGCAGTTGGATCCTACTCGCATCATCCCTTTGACCCGTGGTGCTTCAGGTCATCAGCTCCTGCCGCTCACCGAAGACTGGATGCAGAATGCACTTCCAGCCACTGGGGCTGTCCCAGGACTTTCTTCTTTCATCAAGCATTAGGGACAGCGCCTTCCCGATCTGGACCCTGCCGGAAAAGGGAAGGACACAAGTGTTTTATCAGGGACGGGTAGCAACAGTGCTTCGGCTGAACATTTGGGGGTTAACAAGTGTGCTAGCCGACGTACTGTTCGTTTTGAGGGTATTAGTGAAACTCGAGATTTTCTGAGTGAATGCCGAGACGGAAGTGATGAAGCCTCTGCATGCGCGACACAATGTGCTGAGCCGCGACCTAGAGATCATGCTGTCGTTGCACCACTTCCCGGAACGCATGGCAGCAATCCCGGCTCAGTCCCAGGTGTTCCATCCGACCGTCCTCCAGCCTCTTGCAATCATGGAGCGCTGGAACAAACCCGAGCTCACCCTGTTCCTCCGCACCCACGGGGAGGAACCGCCTCGCAGCTGGACCAAGGTGCAGCTGAAGCAGCGAATCTACGACATGATCGAACAGGGGGAGGCCGAAGCGCCAGCCTCCAACAAGAAGTCAAAGACCCCTCTGCAGATGATGACGGCGGAAATGAACAAGAAGAGCCAGAAGAAGGCGACGCTCATCAAGTACGCGGAGGAGGAACACAATGTGAAGGTGACACCCAACGACACGATCAGCACCATCCAGCGGAAGCTCCTGAACTACTTCATGAGCACGGTGATTCCGGTGGGCGAGGACGTGATGGGCTTTGGCAAGTTTTCGGCGATGACCTACCGCTATACGTCCTCGAGAACGAGAGGAAGTACGTCGAATGGGCCAAGACGACCAGCCAGGAAGGGGATTGCTCCCCATTTCTCCGACGGTTTGTGCGCTGGGTGAACGAGTATGCGGACTTCGAGGACGAACTGGTGACAGCTATGCCTACCAAGCCGGAGCCGGAGAAGGTGAAGAGTCCGACTCCGAAGAAAGGGTACCCCAACATGGAGAACCGTCCGGTCCCATCGACCGGGGAGGCGAGTTCGAGCTCCAACGCGACCGAGCAGGCCGTGATGCAGCTGGCCAATGTGGTGTCGGCGCTGATGAAGGAGGTTCAGGACCTGAAGGAAGAGAAGTCCGAGAAGCCACGCAAGATCACAGCCCGCCCGGACGAGCTGATGGAGAAGACCAAGGACAACCGCTCAGTCTTCAGGCTTCAAGGGTTTTGAATCAGAAAGTTCAGGATTTGGTTCCCGGGATGTTTGAGGAGCTTGTGAGTTGTGAAAGACCCGAGCTGATGGAAATCATGTGCGAACCCAATAGTATCCTCACTCAAACTTTCCAAGCAAGGACGGGACACCCTGACAGCGCCTGTAGATGTTCGCTTTGGAGCGGACATGATCTATCAACCACGGAAGGGCTTGTAACTGCGTTGGAACAAGTTAGGAGCCTGAAGCCCCGACATGTTTGGGTGTCTCCTCCTGGTAATGCCTACTCCCCTCTTCAAAGTATTAACCAGCGTAGTCCGGCCCAGATCCAAGAGTTGAAGGCTAAGAGAGCCCACGCCAACAAGCTGTATGAGAGCACGATCGAAATAGTGAAGTTTTGCCAGCAGCAGGGGACGCATGTCACCGTTGAACTGCCAGAGAAGTGTGAAGCGTGGAGGTTGCCCCTCTTTCAGAAGCTTAGGTTTGAGATGGGCCTTCAGACTTGCGTGACCAAGGGATGTTCTGTTGGACTTCGAGGTGGTGATGGCCAGATGATGATGAAGGGGTGGCGACTGGTGACGAGTCATGGACGACTGGCGGAGATGATGCATAAGCCATGTCAGTGTAGCGCGCAGTACAAGCATGCCAAGTGCGAGGGAACCAACGCAAAAGGGTCAGGGTGCTACACTTCGGAATTCGGAAGGTTGGTTTATGAGGCCTTGCGAAAGGAAGGGGACTTCAGTGGGATTGTTCAGGAGTGTTCGGGCGAGTCAGTTCTTTCGGAGACCTTTGGTTTAGGGTATCGTTGCACGTGTACCAACAAGGATTGTGAACAGGCTTGTGGAAGCTGTCTTGTGCAAGACAGGGATCAAGAAGTAGTTGGACAAGCCTTTCTCAGCAAGGAACAAACACGAGCCCTGGAGTCCAAAGCCTACACCCTGAAACAGGATCCCAAGGAACGTAACCTTCAGAGCCTCCAAAAACTTCTGGAAGAACACCCCCTCCGAAACACTGGTAGGTCCCGCCGTAACTTGAGAGGCCCCAATGACTACGCGCTTTTCGGTAGTTACGCTCACGGGGGTCGTTATGGAGTGACCAACAGAACGAAAGCCTTTCCCCAAGTGTGCCAGTTTGTGAACAGCATCCTTAAGAAGCTCCTTCCCTCCGGCCACAAATGGTCAGCGTTTGTGATCAACCATGGAAGCTGCCTCCCGGTGCACCGGGACAACCACAACAACGATACGTACCCTAACGCAAGTGTGGGTTTCGGGGACTACACGGAAGGAGGTTTGTGGGTTGAGGCAGGAGGACTTCGGTGTAAAAGGGAAGGTGTGAGGTGCGTTCGAAGGAATAGTTCTGGAGAAGTTGTGGAGGGCTATGAGTATGACATTCGGATTGAGCCAGTGATTTTTCATCCGAAAGCTTGGCACGGTTCATGTTCGTGGAAGGGGGATCGGTATGTTCTGACCACTTTCGTGAGTAGAGGATTGGAGAACATTGAGCCTCAAGAGAGACAACAGCTTTTGGATTGTGGGTTTCCCCTCCCGGAGAATAGCCCCCATGAAGCCTTTCCTGCGGAACTTCACGGAAGCACTCAATCTCAGAAGCAAGCTGAAGAGCGTGTGAAGAAACAGTTGTACTTACTGCACTGCGCTACTGGGCACAGCAATCCTCGATACATGATACAGGCCCTGAAGCGTAGAGGAGCGGATGCACAGATCATTAAACTCGCTGAGGCCTTTCAATGCCCCGTGTGCCAAGAGAAACGAAGGCCCCAGGCTCGAAATCTTGCGACCCTGGAGCCTCTTCCACCCAAGCTGTCAACCATCAGTGCCGACGTGGGTCACTGGACTCACCCTCATACTGGAGAAAGTCACCAGTTTATGCTTGTTATAGACGAGGGCTCGAGATTCAGGACCGCAAGGATTCTCTCGCAGGGGTCCCGGCAGTCCCCCAATGCGGCGGCTTGCATAGGCTATCTGCAGGAGGGCTGGGTTCAGTACTTTGGGCATCCTCGATGCCTGCGATTTGGACCCAGCAGGCGCCTTCCGCAGTCATGCTGTTGAAGAGTGGTGCGACAAGTATAACATATTCTTGGACGTCATACCAGGTGAGGCGCATTGGAAGATAGGTACATGCGAGAATGCTGTAAAGGGTGTCAAGGCTGTAATGGAGAAGCTCAGTCTCCACGATGAGGAGATTACCGCCACGGAGGCCTTATCCGAGGCCGTAGCAGCTTTCAATCACAAGGAGTTGGTCCGCGGTTTTTCCCCTGCTCAGCACCTCTTGGGACAGGCGCCGGATGAGACCGGGAGGTTCGTTGCAGCGTGCAAGGAAGTGCCTCCTCATATCCTGTGTGAACATCCTGATGGTGAGTTTGAGCGAGCGGTGCAACGGAGAGCGGAAGCTGAAAAGGCGGTGCTAGACTACAATGCTCAGCAGCGCATTCTGCGTGCTAAACATTCCAGGCACAGACCTTGCTACGACTACGTGCCGGGCGAGTTGGTCTACTACTGGCGCACCCAGGACGCCCAGAAGGGGCGGCGCCAACCAGGCGGCAAGCATGGCAGGTTCTTGGGACCTGCCCGGATACTGGCCACCGAAACGCGAAGGGAACCCGATGGAACCCTCAAACCGGGTGGCGTCATCTGGGTTGTCAAGGGCAGGAGCTTGCTAAAGTGCAGTGCCGAACAGCTCCGCCGTGCAAGCCATCGCGAAGAACTGTTGGAGAGCCTGGCCGACAACCCAGAACAGAGAACTCCCTGGAGCTTCCAGTCAGTGGCTGCCGAGATCGGCGGCAACAAGTTCGAGGACCTCACGGACCAGGTCCCCGACCTACGAGAGTGGACTCGAGCCCAACAGCCCGAAGAAGAAGTGCAGCCTACTCGCTATCGCTTCCGAGGGAAGCGAGCTCCCCACCAGCGCGGTGGAGACGAGGATGTTCCCATGGAAGAGGACGAGACTGAGAACCCACCGGTCCTTCATCGGGAGCGCTCCCGAAGCCGAGGGCCTACCGGTGCCGCGCCAGCCGACGCAGCACAAGCAGCTTGGTGGAACGACGTGGCCACCAAGCACTGGCCCCAAGAGGAGTCAGCCTACTGGTCCGACGACAAGGCAGCAGTGGAGATCGAAATCCCCATGCCCGAGAGCGTGCGTGGCCAGGAAAAAGCCTGGCGAAACCTGGGAGCCTACTTCGTGGGAAGCATGAAGAGACGAGCGGTGGAGTTGTCTGAGCGACGGATGACGGCTCAAGAGCTTGAAGCATTCCAGGGCGCAAAGGCCATCGAGGTGAAGAACTTTGTCGCTTCCAAAGCCTTCGAGACCCTCCCGGAGCATTTGAAGCCGGACCGCAGCCAGGCGATAGGTATGCGTTGGATCCTGACATGGAAATTAAAAGAAGACGGGAGCCGAAAGGCTAAGGCAAGAGCCGTCTTGCTTGGCTACCAAGACGGGAGCTACGAACACAGAGCTACCTCGTCTCCCGTCATGACGAGACAGAGCAGACAGCTCATATTGCAGATGGCCGCGTGGCGGAAGTGGCAAGTACAGAAAGGCGATGTGACGGGCGCCTTCCTGCAGAGCCGCCAGTATCCCGACGAGCTTTTCTGCATACCAACTCCTGAGATTTGTCGAGCCCTGAACATCCCAGAAGGCAGCGTGACGCGCGTCAAGCGCGCATGCTACGGCTTGGTCGATGCTCCTCTGGAATGGTACAGATCAGTAGATAGCTTCCTACAGGAGATAGGGTTTGAAAGACTGTGGTCAGATTCCTGCTGCTGGGCACTCCGGGAAAAAGGCGAGCTACGTGGAATCGTCAGTGGACATGTTGACGACTTCTTGTTTGCCGGACAAACCGGGGACAAACTCTGGGAAAGCAAACTCCAGGCCATTCGTGAAAAATTCAAATGGGGCGACTGGGAAACAGGGAAGTTTACACAATGCGGCGTGATAGTGAAACAAACCGAAGCTGGTTTTGAGCTCTCCCAACCTACCTACCTTGAAAACCTCCATGAGATCACTGTCAACGCAAGTAGGCGAAAAGATCGAAGCCAAGCCACCTCTGATAAGGAAAAGACACAGCTACGTGCATTGCTTGGAGGAATCAGTTGGCATGCCCAACAAGTTGCTCCGTACTTGGCAGCGGATGTAGGACTTCTCTTAACCGAGGTAAGCCGCAGCACAGTGGACACGATCATCCGGGCGAACATTCTGCTCTCCACCGCGAAGGCGAAGCAGAACTACGTGATGCACATCCACGCCTTCGACCCACGCGAGCAGGTGATGTTTGTTGGATGGGTGGACGCTGCGAATGGCAATAGAGTGGACGGTGGATCCACCCAGGGCATCTTTATAGGTGCCACAACGACCGGGATCATGGAGGGCAAGATCAGCAAGGTCAGCCCTATCGGCTGGCATTCCCAGAAAATAGACAGGGCCTGCCGCTCACCTGGAGCGGCGGAGGCTCAAGCTGCGGTCAATGGTGAGGACAGTCTCTACGCGACGAGGCATCAGTGGAGTGAGCTTCTATGGGGAGCTCCTGACCTTCAAAGGCCTGATTCAGGAGTTTGTCGAGTTCAAGGGTGCCTAGTCACTGACAGCAGGAACGTCTACGACAAGTTGGAGACGGAAGTTCTGGTGGTGAAAGGAGCCGAGAAGCGGACTTCAATCGAGCTCCTGGCGATCAAGGAGTCCCAAATACGGACGGGACTCCATGTGAGATGGGTCCATAGTGAGGCCCAGTTGGCAAACAGCCTCACAAAGAGTGGAGGACATCGTGAGTACGACCTCTTCGTGAAGATGAATCAACAATGGCGATTGGTGGAGGATGCATCGATGATGTCGGCTCGACGCCGACGCGAGCAAGGACTTCTTCCCCTCGAGCAGCCACAAGGGAAATCTAGAGTTACCGGGGTTCAACAAGATAATGTTCAGCCGAAGCAGACGGAGCCAGAAGAGCTCCTCAAGATTTCCAGCGGAGGAAGGGGGGCATGAAAGTTCTAAGAACTCTGGCCCTTCTGATGCTGCAGGATCATCGCGCCTCTGCCGAAGCTGATTGTGTGGATCAAAAGAAGGCGTCCGAGGCCGCAAGCAGTCTGTAGCTCCGTAGCACACCGAGCCATTTGTCTGCCTCCTGCGACCTCTACTTTCTCAGTCACATCGGCTAGACCTCAGTGCGCTACCAGCTACCACCACTTTCAGGGTTTAGGGTTCAGGGGTTCAGGGATTAGGGTTTAGGGGTTTAGGGTTTTGGGGTTGGGTTTAGGGTTTAGGGGTTTAGGGTTTTGGGAGGGTTTCAGGGTTTAGGGTTTCGGGTTTTAGGGATCAGGGATTAGGGTTTAAGGGTTTAGGGTTTTGGGGTTTAGGGTTTAGGGGTTTAGGGTTTTGGGAGGGTTTGAGGGTTTAGGGTTTCGGGTTTTAGGGATTAGGGTTTGGGGGTTTAGGGGTCTAGGGTTTAGGGGTTAGGCTTTGGGGCTTAGGGCTTAGGGTTTTGGGGTTTAGGGTTTTAGGGTTTAGGGGTTGGGGGGTCAGGGATCAGGGTTTAGGGGCTTAGGGGTTTAGGGGCTTAGGGTTTAGGGTTTAAGGAGGGTTTAGGGGTTAGGGTTTAAGGGTTTAGGGTTTTAGGGTTTAGGGGCTGGGGGTTCAGGGACTAGGGTTTAGGGTTTAGGGTTCAGGGGTTTGGGTTTAGGGTTTTGCGAGGGTTCACAGGCTCAGCACTGTTTGCTACATGAAGGACAACGAAAGGCCGCAATCCAGAGCAGCAGTACTCCCTAGCACAATTCTTC